GAACCCCACCTCTGTGCAATTTTGCCCATTCAAAGCTAAATGCATGCTTTCAATGTTATATGGATTATAGCTAGACTAATAATTTGGATGGCTTAATACATATGGGTCCATATGTGTGGCTTGCATACCGTATATATTCTTGTATATTCCTACAGCAGCTGTCAATCAGTAAACATATATATAGTACCCCAGCAGTGCAGTGGTTTAGATATCCATATGCTTTTTTAAGATGCCATTGCTTTTACCCATACTGACATTGACTATGCCCTCTGAGATTGTTATGAAGGACATTATGAAACAACTTGAAAGGACATTGGTGATTGATGAAGTTATTATTAAAAAGCTATTCTTTTAGCTGCTGTTCTTTAATTTCGATCAATAACACAGTTGAAAGTAATAATACACTCTCTCTCTCATCCATTTTCTCTCCGTTAGATACCCCTGTCAAAATCACACTAGGATTTCCTATTGTTTAAGGAAAAACCAATGAATAAAATATAAGTGAAAATTGTATTTTTCATATGAATAATGTAAAAGAGGGCATGCTGTTGGCGTCCACGTCTCAAGGTTAGACTATATTGTTAGTTTCCCCGCCTTGCCCATGCTTTGTTCTTGTTTGGTACGAAATGAGAGGATCCAATTTTATCGAGTTTTCTGTTCTGAGGGACACTTTGCCTCCTCTGCCATGATATGTTGTTCCAGAGACTTGAAAGAAAAATTCCAGACCCAGCATGAGGTATGTAGTGTCAAGGCAGTGCCATATGGTAAGACTTGGAGGATATGCCAAAACTTTTCACCACAACCAGCTTCCTTCACTCTGTCAAAATCATCTCCTTCCTACCAAGAGGTAAATTGAAGGAGATGAGGAAAGGACTGATAGAACATAGGGATAGATTTATATTCTTAAATGATTAAAGATGACACTTCACAAATGGCTTCATGCCAAAACTCTTCTCCAAGGGAATTCTAGTTTGATGTGTGACTTGTAATCAAAATCCAAAACCATGAAATCTAAAGGTTTACATTCATCATTTGTTCCTACTTTGATAGGCCAATAATCTCTCCAGTGAGCAGCAGGTATGAGTGAACGGTGTCATGCAATTTATTTTGATGAACAGAATACAGCAGGGAAAGGAACGCACTTTTGCACAGGAAAAAAAAAACAAAAAACTGAGCCTGCTGCTCTGCTCCTTATTTATAATATACAGACAAATAAAGTGATCAATCATGATATATTTGGGCTATGGTATATTCCACTGCAAAGGGGGTATCCTCTATTTCCTGAATTACTTTATAGGAAACAAAACCTTTGGCTGTATGCCTCTTTCAGTTCTGACATTTTTTTATATTTTGGTAAGTCAGAGGATGATTTATATCATTTGAGACGTAATCTAAAACTTTGACAGTAAAGGAGTCACACAGTAAAAGGTACCGTTTGGACTTGAGCAGTTGAGTGATAGATCACTCTTGTTGTTATTGTTGTCAACTAGGTATCTGTCATTGTTTTATGTGCTCTTGCAAGTATTTTTATCTCACTGACTTCATCATTCCTTTTTCCCCTTATTATCAACTTGTTGCACAATTTGTCCATTATGTGATAATGTCATCATTTGTTCTGTTAAATATTAACAACCCTTTCCCGACTATTCCACTGCTACACTCTCTTATCTATTTAAGAGCTACTGCTTGGTACTAACCTTGAAAATGTTTGACTTTACAATATGACAAGGACCAGCTGAATATACAATTAGTTTTGGTCTCTGGCTGGACCATCTAATTTTTGGAAAGAGTTGCTGGCTCAGCCTAGACTTCAGATCTTCTAAAAGACCGACCTTTGTGGAGCATATCCTTTGAAAGATCCAGCATCAGAATTGGGACATAGCTATTTAGACTTGCTAAGCTTTCATCGGTCGTTGCTGTACTTTGTTAACATCAGTTCAGTCAGACAAGTCAAGAAATTGCTGTACTTTTATAACATTACACGTTACACAATCCAAGGATCAAAGATTTTTAGATTTAGCACAATAAGATTGCAGCAAGACAGACGAATAACAAATTAAAGGAAAAACCTGAAAAATGAGTGGACAAACTGGATGACAATACCCCCCCATCCATATAGGGCACAAGGGGTCCATTTAGTGACCCCTTGATAAGTGTGAAAACAATGTGAATCATATGCTATGACCTTCGAGATCACCAGATCTCAACCCAATTGAAAACATATGGTAGATTTTGGACCGTTAGTCTGCACTCTCCACCATCATCATCATCATCAAAAAACAAAAAATGAGGGAGTATCTTTTGGAAGAATGGTGTTCATCCCTCCAATATAGTTCAGAAACTTCAAGAATCAATACCAAGGAGCACTGAAGCTGTTCAGGCGGCACACTGTTTGGTTTTCCTTTTGTCACCTGTCAGTAGTATCCTTATACAAGGCACACACGCTACAACTAAATGTAGCGAATGCAATGCATGTTGTTCTTAAATGTAAGCAAGTTGCTCTGTACTCCTTGAAAACTCAGCAAATTAGCAATCACTCTTTAGATCAAATAAAGAATAGTAAAGCAAGCCATGAAGTAAAATCAATGTCTATGTGACAATAGCCACATTTACCATGAAGCTAAAATTACAGAGAAATAAATCAAGACAGTTATTTGCCACCCCAGATGAATATAAAGTGCTACCCTCTACTTAGTATGCAGCGGGCCAATAGAAAACATCCCAAAATAATGTCAACAACACAAGGGATAAAAATGCCCCAGAACAACTTTGACCATACGTATAATTGAATATGACTGTTCATATTTCACTTCTGACACCAATTGCAAGATAGCATAGCCAAACACAAACCAAATAAATTAGCTAAGCTGCTCAATGCAGTACACAGAAGTAGATGAAGCAGCATGATAAAGAAGCTGGCAGCAGGCACAGTGGCTATGACAGCAACCACCAGCAGATCTGCAAGAGAGCCACAAACACCCTGCAACAAATTCATGTCTGCTACAAACCGAATCTGTGTCAAGCCCATGCCAGCAAAAAACACAGCAGAAAAGCTGGAACTGTACTGAGAAACAACCAGCAATGAGGGTAGCTTAGGCAGGTAGCTGAAATTTGCAAGCACAAACTGTCCTGATCCAAGACATCTACTACAGGCACAAGCAGCAAATACATACCTTGGTTTCCAGGCATCTCCACAGTGAATGAATCCCTTGAAAAAAAGTCACCACAGTCCCAAGCTGCCAACTACATAGGGAGGTTTCTTCTTGAGCACAATCAGTGAAAACTGCCAGGTTACAAAGGCCATCCTGCACACCTGTGTGAATAATTTCATTTTTAAGTTACTAGTGCAATAAGTGCTATCCAATCAACACACTAATTTCAAGTGTACAGTGCCCATGAAGTTCTTTAATGGAAAAATGTTAAAAATACAAACTTACCAGAGGGGAAGTGAACTTCTCAGCAATCTATGGGGAGAAGAAAACACCACTGTCAGTGAAATAAAGCAAAACTTACTCTGGTATTCATCAAACCTTTCTGATAGCACATTTTGACTTGTTGTAGCAGGAAAAGCACAGGTGAAATTAATTTTGTTAACGAAGGCTCAGTATCTTCAAGTGTCTTTTAAGTGTTCGATTAAGCTACACCAATGAGTACAATACAAAATGGAAGGCCCTGCAACTGGCTTACCTGAAAGGACTGAAATCCTTGATTTCATTTAATTAAACCTGTCCCAATCCTATTCTGAAAATCAAAACGGCTGCTGTAAAATCCAAGATTGTACATGTATGAATTCCTTGTCCATCCACTGCTCAGTGCTGCTGGCTGGAAACCATTATGCAACAGTATACAATGTTAAAGCAAGCATAACAGACTACTGGATTATATTTGTATATAATCTATATATACAAACATATTTTTTATTATTATTATAACTATTAGATGTGAACATACCATCCAGCAGGATAACAGGTGATAGCCTGCCAACGTAGCTAAACATTAGGATGTTAACATATGTTTTTAGTTTTGGCTTTGCTTGTTAGAATGCTAGAAATTTAATTTATTGCCTAATGAAAATATTAATGTGGTTCCACTGGGTCTCAGAAATATTTTGCTAACACATGGAACCTGCCCAATCAGCTAGCTTAGTTTTGACTACTGAGACAGTACAGCTTTTATATTTCATTACATTGCACCAACTTAAAAACATTATTTCAAATAATTATACACACAAAATAACCGACTCCCTTCAAAATAATTCAAAATTAATGCCGCATTCACGTGTTCCTCAAATGGTCCCAGTTCGCAAGTTAGGAAGTCATTCTTCCAACTTGGGTGTGTTTGCTCAGAGCATTAAAACAACACATTGATAGCTGTTTCTAGTATTTGTGTTATTTAGTTAATGTGGGTGACTGCTATAACCTTTCTAGGCCACTTTAAGTGAACAACAACCAACGGTTACAACCTAATACCTTACTACAAATTAAATGTTGTCAAAAATTGATGTCCCGTATATGAATTTGCACCATTAATCAAAAGTTTCTCATCATTAACCAACACTTACTTTCATCCGCCATGTTTCTGCGTAAATGAAGTCAACAACTCGGCAAATCGTGATGTTACTTGAGGGGGTGTTCACGTGAATTTTCCCAGTCGGAAACTCAATTTTGCAATTATTTCGACACCACATGAAAGCAGGATAATTCTCAGTGTATTTATATATTTCCCATATTTATATTTTCCAAATTTCGACAAAGAAAAAAGTCCTGTAACTGTTTCAGGTAAAACCTGCGTAGGGGCTACTATGTGACTATGGTTAAAAGCATGTGGGCTATTACATTCACCTTAAGTTCTTTTTTTCTTTTTTCTTTTTTTTTTTTTTTTTTTTTTTAAAAATGGTTATTTGAATCAAAACGTCACATCCCACAAACTGCATGCCAGATTTCCTCCTGCACCGAAGTATTTGCTCTTCCCCTTTAATAAAGTACACGCCCACTCAGCATGTGACAAAACAAGGAAGTTTGAATGTAACGTCTCATTGCATCAAAGTGTAGACTTTTATGAAATATACATGTAAAACCCTGCTGTGTTTGGTGGTCTGCTCGGATGCGAGTTCTCTGTGGTGTGAAAAATATCAATGAATAGGAAATAGCAGCCACGTGTATCGTTGTAATGCTCATGCAACGTTTTGTCAGGGAAAAATGTTTATATCGCTGCTTATTTCCACTTTAACGTTACTGTTTCCACTTGGTCAAACATCTCTCCCTCTCGTTATCAATACTTGGCCTTTCAAGAATGCAACGGCTGCAGGTAGGCCTTACGGTATCTAACCATACGTTATTGCTTGAAAAGTTTTAGTCCGGAGCTCAGTCGTGTGATATTGTGGCCAAAATCTGCAGACAAACAAATATAATACCCGCATACCCACTCAAAACAACATTTGTGTATGTTGTTAATTAGTTTCTGTATGTGTCTGGGCGTTGAATAATTAATTGAACACATTAGTTACAGAGTATGTTGGTCATGTTGTTGGTATTCTCTTAATATTTATTTTTATGTGGTGACACTTGCAGAAGCAGAGGTTGGATAAACCTGCCTTCCTGTTGTTAGTCTGATATGACTTATTTTGCTAGGATATCATCTGCTTTGTTTTTTGATCATCATGTACTCATGTCTGTGCACAGTCATTGCTCACATCATCATGCAGCTCATTAAAAAGGCTTGATATGACATCCATGACATATGGTGGTAGAAAACCAAAAAACACATGAAATTTAACAGTATTGTTATGGTGGTTGTATGAGATTAGTGTACAGTGAAGGGTTTAACTGAATAATCCCCTCTCCCCCTCTTTAGTATTTATGATTCTTTTGCTTTTTTTTTTTTAAATTTCATTCATGATTACATTTTAATAAAATGCCTAGAACTGAAATGATTAGTCTATCAACTGACTCGATCAACAGAAAATTAATCAGCAATTATTTTGATAATTGTTATTTATTTATCCATTAAATATGCCATAATATAGCCATTCTCTCATTACAGCTTCTCAGATATGCTTGCCTTCATCATAACTGATAGCAAATTGAATCTCTTTTGGATTTGGACTCTTGGTTGAAAAAAAAAAAAAAAAATTCAAGTGTAATCGCTGGTAGGCTCCATGACTAGCATTTTCAGGATTCCCCCCTCACATTATTATAAAGTATATTATATTATATATATATATATATATATTATTCTTTCTCTTTATTTATTTTTTTGCAGTATACTTGTGAATCCACTGTATGTAAGACCATCAGAGTCTGAGATGCTGATCGGAAAAGGGTAGAGCTAACTGGTCTTCATAACTGCCATTGCCAGCTTTGCTCTCACTCTATTTGATTTCCTTCAGGATGATACATTGGATATGTTTAAATTGAAACTGAAAATATTTCAGCATTGCTTTCCACTTATCAGTCAAGTGGAGTTCCACCAAGTGCAAAGCTCGACACGAAAAAAATGATAGAAATGCGTTCAAAACATCTCAAGCAACAGATCAAACCTGTAGGTGATTAAAGTGAACTTAAAAACTCACCATTTGAGAGACGTACATCACATGTTTTCCCTGAGGTAGCTATGAAAATGAAAAATGTACCACGCTATCTGTTCTGCAGGTAGATATTTAAAAGTGAAGTCTGTGAGCCACTACTATTGATCCACCCATGCAGATCTCTTTTCCTTTGGGGGCTTATAGAAGCAGCTGACAATAACAGACTAATCTCCTCTTCCATTCTGCAGCATTTTCTAAGTAAAAAAGATTGTAATGCTGAGTTTGATATTAAAAAAGAAGAAAAAGAAAAAAAAATAATTATATCCTGAGACAAGAGCACTTACCTACAATGGAAGACGAACAGAATTTATAGATGGATAAATCATAACTGATAAGAGGAGGAATTTGTGGTAGTATCCTGCTGAACACAGAGTAATGGTCTGAGAATTTAGTGGCAAGCTGGTGACAGTGCTACCAGTTGGTATTTTGATCCCCCATGGGCACTTGGGGGGCTAGTGACCAAATGCTTGATGCTTGATGCTTGATGCTTGTCAGCTCACGCTCCCTGTTTATTAGAAATCCACTGTAGTGGTCATCTCGTGCATCATCTGGACTTTTAACTCAGATTCAAATCTTTTTTTTTTTTGGAAATAGATTAAGTTACATCATTTACCCTACATATTTAAAATCATAGACTGCACTAATATATTATATATCAGATATTGCACTCAATCAAGCCATATCTAAATTGCAAAATATGTTTCCCTGTATGTTTAATTTGACATTAGCTGTCAAAAATGTTATAAAACAGGATTGTGACACAGTAAAGTTTCTTCAGAACATGACATAAACTTTCTTTGTCAGCACTGTCTACGTCAGACTCAACCATTTTCAGTTAAATAGAGACCTAAGGGACAGAGTAACCCTACTCTTCCACCCCCACAGATAAGGTTAAGCTGCCTGAATGTTTGGTTGCCCTGACAACATGCTCCAAATTCTCTGTACACTGTAAGGTTGTATTTCCTATCGTGAGAAGGAAAGGCTGACTGGCTGGCCTCTGTTTTGTTGTGTATTGTACACTGAATTACTCACTGTTTTCTGTTTTGTACTGTAGCGTGGAATACCCTGCAGTCCGGTGGCTCAGTGCTGGATGCAGTGGAGACGGGCTGTGCCCGCTGTGAAATGGAGCAGTGTGATGGCAGTGTAGGCTATGGCGGGAGTCCAGATGAGTCTGGAGAGACCACACTGGATGCCATGATCATGAATGGGTAAACCGTGACATTAACTGCACTGTTATTAAGAGTAAAAATTACATGGTAAAAAATATTTGTAATGTAGCAGAGTAAAACAGTAAAGATTGGTAAGATCGCAAATCTATTTTGCAAATGTGATCTTTTAGCACTTTTGGTGAAAGCTTCAATCCCCGGCAATGATCTCCTTCTCAATTTCCTAAGCTGTAGAAAATATGAGCAAGAGCAGCTCTAAATGAACAGAGAACAGTTTGTGATTATTTTTAATCAGAAATGACCTAATTGAAAATGATGAAAATCTTACTTTAATTAGGCACCTGCAGCTGTCAACATATTGTGTAACTGTTGACAATTTGTTGCGGTGCTGTCTATGCATCTCTAACATTTACAGGCTTAACTGGTTGACCTTTCCAGCCAGCCGTTCCTCAGTAAAGCACTAATTAAGAGCCTCATTAGGATCTGAAGGCTTTGCCAATTATTAGGTCCTCAAACACAAACATTTACACACTCAGAAGTTATCATTGGAGGCAAATGTCAGCTCACGGTGGAAGACAAAATACAAGCAGCAAGCTGTTCGGTATTACTCTGAGGAATATTCCTTCCTCCATTTTACAGGAAAATTGACTTTTTTGGGGGCTGTATAGGCATGAATATGTTCTAGGGAGAGGATAGTCCATTCAATATAGCTGCATAAGAAATACAGTAGTTATCACTAGCAGACATATTGTACACAGTGACGGAGAACAAGAATTGAAACACCTGCACAGTTTCATCCAATCCAATAGAACAACGCTGCAAAAAAATAATCCATTTCTAAAAACGTTAGAAAACAATGTTCAAGTTTTGATATTGTGCCAGGGGAAGTTGACTCGACTCTTTGGCTTCAGTTTGGCTTCTTGAGGCTTTAGTTTGTTGTGGTGGATAAATACTAGAAGCATCTCTCAATATAAAGCAATCCATGAAACCCCCATCACAATCTACAGTCACAAGTATGAGTTAACTTCACTCTGACACAGTATCAAACAAGTGAACATTGTACTTCAGGTATAGCATTTTTAGTAAATTGCAATACATAGAGAGTCTCATTAGCTCATCTCAAGCACAATATGTAGGAGATACAAATACTATCTAAACAGTTTACTTGGTGAATTATGTGTAACATTTATTTTGACAAAAGCATCATGTTGTGTGTTTAAACTACATTGCTGCTGAATTATTGACAACAGTATACTGTCTTTACACACCTTTGGTCTAATTTGCTTAGTCATCAATGTTATGGAAATTGTCTGTGCTAATCACTAGCCAACCATTTATCAAGGGTACAGGGGAGTTAGAGGGGGGAGGACGGCATCAGAGATGTGCAAGTGTTGTGATTTGTATTAGTCACCAAAGCTGGCTTATAAAGCTCATAGATAGATTACTTGCTGTCCCTTAAATCTGATGTTACTTGTGTCTGTTAACCCAGCAGGAGTGTTTATTCTCAGTGTGTATTCTCTGTGAGCAGGGACACCATGGAGGTGGGAGCAGTCGCAGACCTGAGAAGAATCAAGAATGCCATTGGAGTAGCAAGAGTTGTAATGGAGCACACTGATCACACACTGCTAGTGGGAGAGTCAGGTATGTGTAGATTTATGTCTCCAAAGGTATCATTACAAAATCATGGTTAATGTTGGAAGGGTTAATGTTAACATTTAACAACCTAAGTCATTATTTAAACAACATACAGTATGTAAATTCAATTCAATGACCAACAGAGTGTAACACCTTGTTCTACTTACAACTTCTTTTTAAATGCAGTTGTATTGAACCAAACTAGTCCAGTTTGGGGAAAAAAGGGAATAAAATATGTTTTAAGGAGACACTGTGATCCATGAATTTACATTAGTTATCTTCATCAAGCAGCTGTCACATTAGCGGCAAAGCCTTTTAGGCATTTATGTAATGCGTGGTTTTTGCAACACTCGAATAAGCTTCAATCCCTCGGTCACTAGCATAAGCAGCTGGTGATGAATGCATGGGTCAGAGCTGCAGTATAATGCTCTGAACATAAATAGAATGATTGCATAACAGACATGTGGCCAGAAAGGGAAACACACAGTCCAGGCTGTTTTTGGTACAGTTACACATTTTGTTTGTGCCCTTTTAACACAGTTCCCAAATCACAAAGGTTCAAAAGTAATTTGACACTTGGCTGCTAAATGTTTCTCGGGGGGGCGGTGTGTCGTTTCAGTCTTAGGTCACGCACAAAAGAGCTCATACACGGCTCAGAGTTGACTGAGAGTTGAGAGTTGGTACATGGAGAATAGAGGTGACCATGCAAGTGAAGAAGATAATAATGAGGCTAAAAAAAGCAATCTAGAGAGATACCTCAGGTGGTTTGCCAACATCAACAGTCGGGTACGTTTTAAAAGGCAGGTGTGAACAGGAAAACTAGAAAATGCCAAATGACCTGGTAGACTGAGGAGCACATGTCTTGTGGAAAAGCAGAAAATTATTTGCATGGTGAACAAAAACCTCTCTATGACTGCACAACAAGTCAAGAATCAAGAGAAAAAGGTCAGGTTGCAGTTTACAAAAACACAAAAAGAAGAGTGTAGAGTTCTTCCAAAAAGTTCTATGGATTGATGAAACCAAAATCTGCCTCAATCAAAATGATGGAAAGACAGAAAGTGTGGGGGAAAAAAAAAAAGATCAGCTCATGACCCAAAGCCACCACCTAAAATGTCAAACATGGTGCTGCTTCTGTTGTGGCGCGGGCATGACAGCTGCCAATGGAACTGGCACACCGGCATTCATTGATCATTTCACGGCTGACAGATGCAACAGGGTGCATGCAGAGGCGTACAGATGTAGTATGTGTGCTCAGATTCAGCCAAGGGCATCAAAACCCATTGGATGACATTTCATCATTCAGCAGGACAACGATCCTAAACAAACGGCCAAAGCAACCAAAGAGTTTTTCAGTGTGAAGAGGTGGAATGTCTTTGACCTGTCTGATCCTACTGAGCTGCACTGCACTTATACTGAAGACCAGCCTAAAGGTAGAGAGACCCCACTGCAGTGAAAGCATGGGAGAGCATCACCAGGGAGGATACAAAGCATCCGCTGATGTCTATGGGTTAAAGACTTAAGGTAGTTGTTCACTGCAAAAGATTTTCCACAAAATATTAAGTATGATGATTTTGTTTGACTTCATGTCTATCTGTCTAGTTACTTTTGAATCATGTGTTAGCCACTATGTGTTAAAATGGTTATATCTCCCACACAGTTCATTCAATATTAATATAAACCTACACAAACTAAAGCTGATACTTGGCACTTAAATACAGTGTGCATGATTTGTATTTCAAACTGAATGTTGATGAAGCTCAGAGCCTTAAGAGCAAATAATGTGTAACTGTCTGAATACTTACAGTCTGGACTGCGTAAGAGAATTATTTTAGGTTTTTTTTCATGACGGTCATAAATGAATAAATAAAAGAGTGGAGAAGGACGAGGAGCTCAACTTTCTGCAAGTCAGTCAAAGTAAAGTGAAGTCCAATATTGAAGCCTTTTCTTTCTATGTGATAAGTGTCTTCTAAATCAAATAATTTGGCTCATATGTCAAAATATCACAAGACCAACTTTTTTTTATTTTATACCAGAGAAATTCAATTCATTTGGCTTTATTCATCTGAATTGAACCATCATTCTTATGGAATAGTAAGGTCACTGCTGTAGCGATGGAAAACTTCCTCACGAGCTAAAGCCTAAATGAGATGAGATTGCCTCCAGTCCCTCCTTTATTTGTGACCCTTTGTTTTTCTTATAACCCAAGGTCAGTGTGGACCAGAATGTGTAACTTGACCTGAAAGTATTCCTTCTCTCTTTATAGCTTCTGTGTTTGCTGAAAACATGGGCTTCATTGCAGAAGACCTGACTACCAACAAATCTGTGAATATTTTCTCACAGTGGCTGAAGGGCAACTGCCAACCTAATTATCGAAAGGTGTGTGTGTGTGCGTGTGTATTAGAGTGTGTATTTTTCTCTCGCTTGTTTTGGCTACAGGCGTGCTACTTCTAAAAGATTGATATTAAGCTAGGAAATTGACAGGCATACTAAAGAAGTTCATAAAAAGCCAGCTCTTCTGGTAAAGGTGATGTCCTACAGCGCTGGGGTTTTTGCTATTCTTTCAACCTCTCTTGTTTACCTCCACAATAATGTCCCAAAGTCTCCCGAGTAAGAGTTATTTTTCCTTTCAAGTCAGCTGTTATCTTTCCAGAGAGAGTATGCAGCGTCCTATTGATCAAATTTACAATATTTACACTTGGGGATGCCCAGCACACGTAGTCCTCTATTGATGGCCAATGAGCAGCTTAACAAGTGCAAGAGCAAGTGCCTCAACAGTAGTTAAGGAAGGGAAAAAGCTGATCGATTCTGCCATCCAAGTTTTTCCCAAAGCTTTCTTGACCTATTCATGCCAAACAAGTATAATACCTTCATGAAAATTCTGTATTTGGTGCAGAGGCACAGAAAACTTTCATCAGTAAAAACTGAAAAATGGGTCACGAGAAAAGAATTCACAGGGTTTATTTCCATACATTTGCTGTGTGCATTTAGTGTTGACATAAATTGTATAATCCATGTAAATATAGAATAATAGTAATACCTGCAGTGGCAGTCATAATAAAAGCATGACTAGGTGTGGTTCAGTTAAAAATTCACCACTGTATCAGCTTGAATCTGCAGAGAGGTGTCATTATTCTCCTTTTACCTTGTAAACAAATTACTCCGTTGACAGGCTTTTTTGGAAAATTTCAGATTGTTGCTGAGGCCACTGGAGAACAACTATACCTGTATTATTTATAACTAAAGAGACTGTTTTCAAGGGTTTTACCCTCACCTTCATGAAATGGAATATAACAGACTTTGCTTTATGAATAATGCACAGGCACTTTCATAAAACAGACTAGTTGAGCCCAACTTCGGTTTGCTGATGGCATAATGAAAGCTCCATAGAAAAGTAATGCTGATAGAGATACATATTCTATATGAAAGGATTTTAGTTTTGTTTTAATATTTTATTTTACCTTTTATGACTCCTAGTCTGCATTTTATCACTGCTCACTTCAAACTAAAAATTAGGCTTTTCTTTCCTAATCCCACTTACCTGTGACATCAAAGGAGCAGAAGACATTGAATGAACTTTTCACACCTTCCTGCAGGTCAACCTGGTACACTCAGTCACTCATAAGAGCAGAGGAGACGCCTTGAGGTAGAGACACAGAAGAACCTTTTGTCAAACTACACTGCACTCTGACAGATAATCACATCCTGAGCTTTATCCAGGTCAACTTAGATTGAATGAGCTGGTACAGTAGGCTGTCTGTGTCTCAATAAAAATGGTATTGGACAGCTGAAGGACACATTTTGGCAGCAGCAGGAATTTAAACTGGAATGTTTTGTTCATGAAGTGGTCCAGACCACTGGGAATATGATTTTTGTAAGACTGCCAACTGTTCATTATTAAGTACCAAACCATGCATTGACAATAGTGCTGATTGTTCAGTAAAAGTAAATGCCTGCAGATCACCATGTCTTGCTTGTGTGTATAGTGTTTGTGTGTGTGTGTGTGTGTGTGTGTGTACATATATAGTATAGTGGCATTATGCAAGCAGCAATGGAGTTTTCTCTCCTGTCAAAAGAATGTATTTCCAGATCCTTCCATGTCCTGTGGACCCTACAAGCCCAGGGCGACACTGAAACAGAAGAAGAGGATGGCACAGCATGCTAATGCGCGCTCCCATGACACCATAGGTAGGTTTTTATCAGTTAACATTGAAAGTAGTGGAGTCAGCTTTCCTCGGGCATTTTATATCTCAGTATATAAGCACTTCATTGAAACAACACAGGGATGAGAGCACGTTTAGCAGCACAACGTGCCAAAAAGCTGACTAAAGTAGAGGTTATCAGGGCACGCTACAATTTTAAGGTTTTGAATTTGTTTCTGTCCAAACAGATCCAATCTATTGCTACGCTCCCAAAAAACTTCACGAGTGTTTCAAATGACTTTGTCACACTTTTTTTTTTTTTTTTTTTTTTATAAGTTACTATGTTGCCATAGTGTTGGCTGATGTCTCCATAGCATTTCTTTTGTTTTTGCACCAGGGATGGTTGCTCTCGATCAGGATGGTCATGTGGCTGCTGGTACATCAACCAATGGACTAACTCACAAAGTTCCAGGGTACGTAGATTATGTTGATTTTAGTGTCAAAAATGAGCAAAAAAATGTATTAGTATTCTAGGCCTTGGGGGAACATGAGTGTGACAAAATAATCCACTGTACAGGTTTTAGCATGCTGTTTCATTGGTTGAAAAGATTACATAATGAATTGCAACACTAAAGGAAATGATGCTGGCTGTTAATCTGCATTGTTCATTGAAAATATAGGCATTTCATCGCATCTAGAAAGACAAACATAAACATTAACAATTGTATTGATTAAAAAATGATTTGTGTGCATTATATTTGGCACTTTATTATGTGTATTATATGCGTGTGTTTCATGTGGTCTGTGTTTAAACCCTTTCATTTTCCTGTACTGCAGTCGTGTTGGGGACTCTCCTATAGTGGGAGCAGGGGCCTATGCAGACAGCTCAGCTGGTGGTGCTGCCGCTACTGGAGATGGAGACGTCATGATGCGCTTTCTACCAAGGTAGGTGCATTGTCCTCTTAACACAAAAGTCGAATGTTGATTTAGAAATACCTTTCCTATGTTTTTACCTTGTGTCATTGTGTGCTTCACTCCATGGAAGAAAATTGCGGTCTCAAACCCATCAGATAGGAATTTTACAAAGGGAAGGTCAGTATTCTCTGGGCCTTCATATGAAGGTTTTGTCTCAGCAAAAAGGATTCACGAAGGCATGTGAGTAATGTGATGTATATATATATAAGTGTGAGCAAAGAATCTTTAAAAATATGTATGAAATTATTGACCAGATTTCTTCCTGTGTGAGGAAAGTGAGACTAAAATTTCACATCTTGTAGGTATACCTTGATTACCTGTATCTAATGGAGTACATCCAGATATGCACCACTTTATGGTTTGCTCCTCATTTCAAAAGTTAAAATAGTTTCCCATCATAAATATTGATCCATCTGAACTTCTCTAACAGTGCTGCATTTAAAATTTCATGAGACATGTTGACTGTATCCTTCATCCCTACTTCTTCCCTCCCTAAACAGGGTTTATTTCACAGCCACCTTTCTGAATAACAGGACTGTTACGTGGCTTTGTCTACACTTAAGGATTATGTTTCAGAGAATATTGACATCTTCGACACGTGTAGCTTTTAAACAGCCAATTTCTGGTGTGAGCATTTGAGTGCAAGTGCAGCAGTTACAATATGAAGGGTGGAGTGGACTATGTTGCCCCAAAACTGTCATTTGTACGTTGCACAGAAGAGGCGAGATGTCACTGAAGCTGCTGTTTGTTTCGAGGCTGTGAGAATATGGCAGTCTCGGAAGGGTTTTTTTGTTTTGTTTTGTTTTGTTTTATTCATCCAGGACAGGTTGGTGAGCACACGTACTGTTCTTTTAATTTTCATTCAATTTTACATTCATCGTCACACACAACCACACCAGAGGGCTGTCTGTTTCAGTCATAGTTTTGTGAGTCCTAGAAATCCTAGAATTACCGGAGGTTTCGTTTTTGAGGAAGACCTTGCAAGGAGTGGACTGAAGTGTTTGTCATTCATTCTCTGTGCCCCAATGTTTCAATGCAGCATGTGTTTGCAAGCCTGCCTAAGGACTGTAACACGCAATAACCAGCAATGGGCTGTTGGTATCTTCCCTAGAATCACTAGAAATAAAGTTTGTTAATACACTTTACTTTAATACACTTTGTTACTTTAACATTTTTCACTGTGCTCCTGAATTTCCGTGTGCACATGTGTACTCCCCGGGGGAAAAAGTGTGTGTGTAGAACCCTGGTACAGTCATTACATGAGCAGACCTAAAACTGCAAGTCTAAAATCCTGAATTTTTCCTTTAGAGCGTCCTGAGATACATTCAAATGTAAACTATCTCTCTTCCAGAAAGGGGAATTTTACTTATTTGCTTGCTATCTTGTGTGAGGGAAAAAACAATGTCCAAACAAACACCTGTCAAAATTATTCAGAGGAACAAGGTTCCTACACATTTTCCACTTAAAAATCCCATATTTTCGCACTCATTGTATTATACATTTGACCTCTGGCTAATGGAGTTAATAGCACCAGTAGTGTCTGTGTAGAGCAACTTTTAATTGCAGTGATGACAAATTGCTTCAGTTAATGCACATTTTTATACAGTTGCGAACACCTGAAAAGTATTGTCACGACTTCCTTGTATAACATTGAGTGAGCGTGGGAATGTTACTATTTTTAAATCACATTTAATCAGTGTTTCTTCACATCATATTTGTTTGCATCAGATTTATCCCCCGCCATAATCACTAGCTCATCCCCATCATCATCCTGGTTGGTGGCCTTGACAGCGCTCGTTAAGTTTGCCTCATGTGTACTGCATGTAATCCTGCCAACAGTTACTTGGCCGTGGAGCTGATGAGGGCCGGGGCAGATCCCTCGGCAGCCTGCAAGACAGCTATTTCCAGAATCAAGAGGCATTACTCAGAGTTCTTTGGAGCCATCATCTGTGCTAACACAACAGGCCATTATGGTGAGTGTTTGGGTTCACAAATATAGACTGTACTACTCCCTGCCAAAGGAACTAAGGCACACACCTGATACACACACATCTTTTTCTTTTTTTTCTTTTTTTTTTGTAAATTGCATTTGGTTGAAATGATAGTTATCTAAATGGTTAAACTGCAAATTAAAATTCCATGCTACATTCTTGATAAAGACTATCCAGGATTCAACAAACCCAATGGTAATTAGGCTTCTACAGATAAAATATTTGTGTGAAAAATACAACAGGTCACTTTTTTAGACTCTTTTTTAAGTGATAATCAAATTAATAAAAGTGGTTACTGATCACCCATATTCAAAGAATGCCTATTACTTGGAATAATGGCCAAATACATGGCCTCTGTGGAATCTAATTGATGGGAATCCGTCGTAGCGACGGAGAACCTTAATCCATGCAAACTCCAGCACAATCCTTTCTACCTAGTGACTGCTTTGTTCTCATGACAACAGAGACATAGTTTAAAGTCAATGTAGCAGCTGATGTGGCCGTTTCTCTTACCTCAGTCAGAAAAATCACTAGATAACCTTTTCATTTTCAAACAGTGTAGTTTGTTCAGGATTATATCTATTTACCTTGTATCCACAATGTTTTTCCCCTTGCTCACACACTTTGCACCACAGGTATGTAAAATAAGATTTGAATGTAATAAGACACTGAAAATAAGTATAAGACATGTAAAAACTTCAGAGATGGAGATTTAATTAGTATTCGTCTTTGTGAAGTCAAGGTTCTCAGAGAGGGGTGGCAATTTTAATTTCTAGTAAATTAAACTGAGTGCACATATGAAAAGAAATATATTGAAAGGAGATTTGTACTAGCGTAGGGATATCTGCAGGATGTTTTAGTTACTTTTCTGAATGTATATGCACATCCGTGATCTGAATGAAAAGTCTATAAACAAATATTTGAATTATTAATCTCTGAGGCTCAGGGTATCCTAATTTGTGGGAGAGACTTTAACGTTAGACTTCAGCCGACTGTGGATACAGCGAAAGCTTACTACACAGGAAAGAAGAAAACTACAAAAAATACAAAATTAATGTTGGGAAAGCTGCGACTCTCAGACATATGGGGGGATCTGAATCTGATAGAGAGGGATTATACCTCTTTTTCCTCACCCACATTCTGTTTATTCTAGGCTTAACTATTTTTTTTTTCCAAAGAGATTTATATAACAGGTGATAAATTGCGATATTGGAACCATGGACTTTAAGACCACACCTCAATTACCATATATTTAATATTAGGTTGTGAAAAGAAGAGCACCATCTGGAGGCTAAACATTGAGATTCTCAATCAAATGAGGGAGCAAATAAGGCTGCATATATAAGATTATCAATGGGGAAGTGTCCCCTCCGATTCTTTGGAATGCATACAAAGCTGTTCTTAGTGGGATAATTATAGGCTATTATAGTTTCTAATTTTAAAGAAGCAGCAAAAAATTGATAGGTTACAAACATAATTTTAAAAAAATCGGAGATCATCCATAGAAAGACACTGAATCATGGAATAAAAATGGAAATAGAAACAAATTAAATGAAATCTACTCAAATGACAAAAACAAATTGTGAAGTGGGAGATAAATAGGCTAAATGACTTGCCTACAAATTAAAAAAGCAACAAGTAAAAAAATACAATTGATAAAATAAAGGATCCCACAACAAATTCCAAACACTACCAATTAAAAGATATATAACAGTCATTTTAAAATTTATATACACATCCCAAATTAGATGAAACAAAGATGGAATCCTTTTTTGACATGATAAAATTACCATCAGCAAGGGACTAAATAAGCTTCTAATTACTGAAATTACAGATAAAGACATTAAAAGACATAATCAGATTTAAAACACAATAAGGCAGCAGGACAGCATGGTTTTCCCTCAAAGTGATGTACGAAAATGAATGATCTGCTGATCCTTACGATGATGGTCACCATGTGCTCAACACTGGCATAACTCCCTCTTGGAGAGAAACAGTGAATTCTTTGATACCAATATAGGGTAAAGATAAACTTGAATATGGAGGTTATTGGCCAATAAGTATACCAAACCAAGAGTATAAGATCGTTACCCACACTCTGGCAAAAAGAGTTGAAAAAATCCTCCCCCGGATAATAAGTCCAGCTCAGACAGGTTTTATTCAGCAAAGGCAGACACAAGATAATGTGACTGAGCATAGAGTAAAATATAAACTCCAGGCAGTATTATTGAGCCTTGATGCAGGAAAAGCTTTTGATCAAGTCAATTGGGAGTTTTTATATAGAGTATTACAAAAAATTTGGATTTCATCAGAGCTTTATTAAAACTATTCTAACACTGTATAATAGCCCAAGAGCAAGAATAAAAATAAATGGAGCCATATCAAACTCATTCAGTCTGGAATGAGGCACCAGACAGGGCTGTCCAAAAAAATCCATTACTGTTTGCCGTGTTTGAAGCCTTAAGTCATGGGATCACTCAGGATAATAATATTACAGGTATGAAAATGTTAGGTCAAGAACATAAAATTTCTTTATTTGCGGATGAAATTTTAATTTACCTGTCAAACCCAGAGAGTTCAAGTTTGAAATTATTGTCATTCTTGGATCGCTTTAGTTCCGTCTCAGCTTATAAATTCAATATTCCCAAGGCCCAAATACTAAGTTTCAATTACAGGCCTAGCCCGATCATTAAGATCTGACATGCAACTAAATTCGGATGTCGCTCACATGAGAGATTTAGGAGTAAAAAGAAGAAATAAATTTACAAATTTGTATGCTTTAAATTTTAATCTGTTAAATCAGAGAGTAAAGGAGCAAATAAGGGGATGGAATTTAATTTTAATATTAAGCTTGAAGCTTAATTGAGTCTGTTAAAATCAATATCTTGCCTAGAGTACTATATTTGTTTCAGACTCTTCCAACTGAAATACCTGAAACTATTCAATGAATGGGATAAATTAATATTACGGTACATTTGGCAAGGGAGAAATCCAAGGATAAGATTTGAAACGCTTCAGTTGGCTAAGCACAAGGGAGGACTTGCACTCCCCTGCCTAAAGGACTATTATACAGCAGCCCAACTGAGGATCTTGATTTGTTGGTGTAATGAGTCTATTGCGAGATGGAAAGAAATATGTCCGGGGCAGTTCCAATTCAGGCACGGTTAAAGGATAAAAGACTAATTAAAAACTTGATGGAAACAGGTAATAAGTGGATCAACTTATCTCTGAAAATACTATCACTGGTGAAATACTATCACTGACTTTGAAGAGATGAAGATTCTGAGATGGTGCTCTCATGACCTTGACTTTACCCCAGATAAATTGGATTTTTTAATCAGCTGAAAGTGAGCAGTTTTCAGATACTGAAGAGACTACAAGGGTTAAATAATAGTAACTTTTTAAAATTTCTTCAGATACCCTATCACACAAACAGTTAGAGAGTCAAAGGGTGTTTGAAAACAACCTATTGGAAGTTTTTATTAGTGCCAACAGGAGAGATTAGGGACTCGAAGTAATTGCAAGACTGTATAGGGGATTTCAGGAGGTTAAAATAGCAAGTACCACCTACTGAAAACAATCAATGGAAAGGGAAACCAACAGTTACATTCCAAAGGAAGTCTGTACAAAATATTGTGAATTTTAATGGAGGTTGTCAAGCTCAACCTCATGGAGAGCATTTGGCTGGAAGAGTCTCAGTAGATATTTTATCAGACCTGCTCAGAAGTCTCACCACTCAGGCTCCTCCAGCTACTGGAGGAATTGTGGCTCCCAGGAAGCCAATCACTACCACTTGTTTTGGGGCCTGTCCAAAAAAAAAAAAAAAAAACTTTTTGGCTTAGGATTTATAAAGAATTATTGACTATATTCGAGACAAAATTTACTTTTTAATTGGGACAAACTCCTTTTTGGGCTTCTACATTCAACATCTACTAGGGTTGGAACAGTTCATGAAAAAAATCCCCGTCCCGTTCGGTTGTCTCGGTTCGGGGGCATGTGTGTATTGTTCAGTTCAGGGCATGCGCAAAAAAAAAAGCCTTGCGCCAGTAACCCAGTGAAGTTTTCCGCAGATTTTGTGAACCATTCCAGCCCTAACATCTACAAATATTAAAACAGAACTGGAATATTGTAGCTGCTAGAAAAGCAATTACAAAGAAATGGCTTAATCCAGACAGCCCATCTATAGAGGAATGGTATGATATCGTTAATGAAATCTTTGTAAAGGAAAGAATCATCTTCTGCATGAGGCTTCAGGAAATTAAAGGAAATTTGGGAGGAAGGGAAAAAACATATTTCCCCAAAACACCCTTCTTTTGTTTAAGTTTGTCTTGTGTATAATTATAATGCAAAAAGGTGAAAAGATGGATAACTCTGTTAAGGTATCTAACTAAAGACTGTGTAAACTGCCGTTATTATGTGAGTCTAAATAAAGGAAAAAATAAATAAAAAAGAAAACATCTGCATTAACAGCTGTTAACATGTAAGGGAAAAGATATCACATTTCACCACCAGCACTAAATGAGGCCTTAGTGAGATGGGGCTAAAGGTTTGGTTCTCCTGTGAAATCACTGTTTTTTCTTTCATCTCCTCAGGTGCAGCCTGTAACAAAGTCCCTGGATTCTCCCAGTTTCACTACATGGTGTCAAACTCTGAGTCAAACACACCACTCCTGAAATCTGTGGACTGCTTTTAAATGGTTTATAATTGCAAGCATCTTTTTTTATATATTTAAATTAAGTAACAGCTTTCATACTGTATTTTAATGCTGATGATTTTGGTTTTAATTCCTAAATAAAATAAATTAGAAGAGGAAAAAAATGCATTTGTCACTTAAAATTGGAATTGTTGCTGCTTTGGCTTGTTTTGATTCTGTATTAGATTTATAACAGTTTTCTCTTGATAACTTTGAAATTTACATCTTTAAAAGATGGACATGGACAGGACATAGTACAAATTAAATGCAAAAAGACAATCAGATACAACAATTTTGTACAAACAAGTGATTGGGCATAATCTGAAGATCACAGGTTTGATAGGTATTCCCTATTAAATGTATTTTTCAGGATAGACATATCTGTGTAAATATAATAAGTTATCGTGTCTCTTTCTATATGAATTTATTTATATTAACACATAGGCTTCGGCTTTTCAAGTAGTGTATTGCTAAAACATATTAACAACCAGGGAGGATGGATACCCCTGGTCCATTCTCTGCCCACTGAAAAAAGTCACACTGTTTACCCTTTTGAAAGCTGCAGGTGTAGAAATTCCGGCCATTGTTGGGTCCTAGTTTCAGAACAGTCCTCATTAAACAGCGTTTACCATGGTGACAAGAAGGGAAGTGCAAGTCTGCCCACTGCAACAGAGAAAATAAGGTTTCTCTGAGTTAGCTGTGAAGTTTTATTTCAGTCATTTCAATCGGATGCAAACAAATGTGTGTATGAGTGTTATAGCTAAACCTGAAGATACTTAGAAATTATCTCAGTTATTTATTTTCCAGGCTACACAATGCAATAGAGAAAAGTTGCTTTCCATTTTCACCTCAAAGAAGTTACATTTGGTCTCTCTGGGAAGCGAGCAGGCATAGAACTGTCGTCCCTTATTCTCCCCCTCCTTATGGACCACTCTGAGGACAGCTGGACGACTATGGGATGCACAACAAGGGGCACTGGGACTGGAAGAAATAGAGGAGCCGCGGCTTGTAGCTCCCATTCTGTGGGTACTGACAGAAGTGAAGAAACAGTCTTATTAGCTTGAAATAAACTGAAAAGAAAATACAGGAATACCTGTCACATCAGCCCTTATTAGTGAGCAAACAACCACTCCTCAACTGTGTGTGATGATATGTGTCAGTAATAATCGTATTTGCAAGGTATCCTACCATAGCTATTTATCAATCTCAACTTTTTTTTTTAACAATGTTGCATTAAAAATTCCACAGCAAGATGCTTTTTTATCCCACTTATCTCCCTGAAGTTGCAAAAAACTTCTCTTATTATAAACTTATTCATGAATAGCTAAACAAGAGATTCACTCACCCGGTGTTGGGGGTTCCATTTTGAGCATTGTTACTGGGAAAGGGACTGTGATCAATTCTCATTTTCTTGGATGGGTGACTGTAGGAGGCCAGTGATTCCCCATTGGAGAGCTCGGCACTTTGCTTCTGCCAGCCACCAGAGGCATAATTGGGGCTTGTTGTCCCTTGGCAGACGCTGTATTTATATAAACCTTGTTCTGCCGCCAAGGAATTCAAATGACTGCCGGCTGGGGAGAGCGGGGAGTTTACAGGCTTTGGCTTCTTGCTCAAGTCAGAGAAAACAAGGGTGGAAGTCCCGAAGGCAGACCTCCAGTTGACTTTGAGCTCCTCTTGTGGTTTCTTGAAAGCAGTGCAAGGGTACTTAATCAAATCAGTGGTGAACGGTGATGCCTCAGTGCTAATGTTGTCTTTGTGGACTGTGAAGATGAAGCCAGAGTGAGAATCATTTCATGTTCAGCAGCTGCACCTTATTTAGATGAACTGGCTGCTCTCGTAAAATGCAGATTGTTGTTAGCTTTAAGTGGTTAGCTTCCATAAAATTTACCAGTAAGCAGAAGACTGCTACGCTGTGTAGTCAAAAAAAAAAAAAAGTCACACAATCTGTTGTGCTGATGATGCCCTTATGCAAAATACTGTGAAATGTATCCCCATTTAATAAAACTTTGAAACTTAGTAATGGTGAACTACAGTCCCTGGATGACATTAATTTGCCCTTGAGCAAGGCACTTAACCCCCAACTGTTTTAGTGGAGCTGCACAGTGGTCAACTCATATATAACCGTAGAAATGCAAATCAGGGTATTACTGAAAAAAGAAACTTTCCCTGGAGAAACAAGTGTCCATTATTCATTTCCACATTTTTAAAAGTTAAATTTCATCTAAAAGTGGAACCGTTGTTATTAATCACCCACACTCATGTCAGTTCAAAAATGCAGGTGAACCTTGTACAAATGTATTGAGATCTAGTTGAATCATATTTGCTCCTATTTTGAACAGCTGACAGCAACACTGTAAAAACACAAGTATAGTCCCTATAAAAAGTATTCACCGCCCTTGGATGGTTCCATGTTTTTTTGTTTTACAAAACTGAATCAAAGGAGATTTGATGTGGCTTTTAAACACTAATCAACATTTAGATCACTACAATTAATTAATTAATTAATTAATTAATTAATTAATTAATACAAAATATAAAATGCTTCTTAAAAGAACTCTAAATGCAGCCAGATGCCTGGAATTGCAGGTTTCTGGTATCCTGTCCAAAGTGTGGTTTGTCTGGAATGAGAACATTTGAACCAACTGCAGGAATCAATGCCAAGATGACAGGCTGACATATGATAGTCAGCAGTTTACCCATGGTTGGGAAGCTCAGCATAACCAAATGAACCACGGGCAAACTGTAGTCTGAAGTGATTCTCATACAGCTTTTCAGCTGCTCAGTCAGCTATCATTTGAAAAATATAATTTGAAATGTGGGAGCATGATCTTAAAAAAAACTAAAAAACTGTAGAATAGAAAAAAATACAAAGTAAACCATCCAACTGTGGTTTGGCAGTTGCAACAGACAGACAGCAAAAGACATTTCTTTCAAACAGTCGTTCACTGCTGTCATAACGTATCTAAAGATGGTCAGAGAAAAATGGCCAGTTGACAGACATGCTCATTACTTGTTCAGCAACATAGAGACACAACTACAGAGAAAACAGCGTGCTTGACTGCTGTGTCACTTCAACAGCTTGGTGTTTGGTGCCTTGCTCAGAAGTACTTAAACATTGATGGCAAGCAGTACATGGGATCATTCAGCTAAACAGCCAAACTATAGCAACCATTATTTTATCTCTTGCTAACAAGGATGTTCTGTCGCCTCATTAAATTCAGAGACAGTGACGCCCAAACATTTTACTCACCCTCAGGTCTTGGAGTGAGGCATGCATCACAGGCTTTTGCTGCTGGCTGGTTGATGAGCGTGCAGAGCTGACAGGCCCAGTCCTCTTCCTCCTTCTTAGCCACATTATCATTGGTTCTGTCATTGTATACCCAGTTAGTCAGACGGTTTCTGACTGGGAGCTTACTGGATAAAGAAAACACAGGAGCGACAATGGTGATTCTAATAAACTTTTGTTACTAAAACAGGCTTACTAATAAATGAAACATGCACTGAAGCAGAAATCATTCTACTGTGTTAAAACAGAACTCTGGATCCTTTTGTGTGTACACAGACACACCCACCCATCAATGAGGGTAGACAAAATAAACAATTTTACACTTTATAATATTTTGTCAATCACTGAGTAGACTAAATACAAAAAAAAACACCTCTCAGGATAACACAATAAAAGCCTCGAAAATGACAACAACTCTTTGAAGCAGTTTCAACAAGAACTGATCATAACCATCATGAACGTAGAATTTATTGCAGGACTGTTGTATTAGTCTGCATCAGTGGTGTCTAGGTGTACCTAATAAACTGGCGAAATTATGTTAGGTAGGGTATGTTGTGGGTAGTGTGTTTGTGTATGTGCATTGTAGGATATTTTAATAATCTGGTAATATAATAACAATAATATTATTGAAATTGTGAATATATGATGTACAATATACATCACACTATACACTATATACCGGTATACATATATACATTTCCTTGATTACTTATATTATGAGCAATTAGTCCTTGGTACTACAGGTGCAAAATGAGTGATGCATATAGTCATAGAATAACTGGGGTGCATCTGTAGCCTAATGGTTAAGCCGCATACCACATAACCACTGTGTTGCATGTCTTACCTCTCTCCCCATGTGTCCTGTTTTTCATGATAAAATTATAATAATATAGAATAAAATTAAACAACCATTATTGTAACATGAATATAGAAAATACAGACAAAGAGAAAACTTGAACTAGACAAACATTTACAGTTCAAGCAGAGGATGAAGATGTGTGGGAAGACAATGTGTTTCACATAATAGCTCCGAGGACACATGTTAGTGCTTTGACACGAAGCTCGACTATGTTTGACAAGACGGTAAATCTGCAATGCCAACAGTCATCGAGGAGGGAGGAAGAAAAACTTTCCTCACAGATTGCTTTATCAGCTGAGTAATGTGTTGTAAGGGCTTTAGGCTCTAACCCCTTGCAAAGCCTTGCTCAAACACAACCCAGGAGGTGTTGAGCCTGTGCCCTGTCTGGCAAACACAGCCTTATATGCGCATTAATTTCCCCCCCGTAACACTTCCCACTCCCTGCCAAGCCCATCTGCCTGCAAAGATGGCCTCTCCAAATTTGAAGTTATTATCTACACGCTTCAGAACTTTCTACACAGACTAGGTTTTGAATAATGACACCTGGCTTTACTGTGTTGCTTTGTATTATAGTGGCATTACATTGTTAGCAACAAAATGTATTAAGAATTCAAATAAAAACCTAGAAATTGTAGTGTTACACAGGGATTTTAGCTTTTATCACATTTCTACTCACAAAATGCAGTTCAGCATATTTGTTCATTAAAACAACCAGCAAACAGTTTAGTAGTCTAACAAATCCTTATTGCTATAAAATATGCATTCATGTTGCTGCCGAAAATGCACTGTAATAGGTGTTATTTTATTCCCACCTTAAACATTATTGGCATCACCCTTTTTGAACAATACCTACACCAACCCTCTATGAAACCATCCTTACAAGAACGCAAGACAATATCTTTCCAGGCAAAGTGCCTATGGTCTAT